TCACATACTCGAACCGACCAGACTGCGTAGCTCAGTTGGCAGAGCATTGGGCTAGTATTCCAAAGGTCGTAGGTTCGAATCCCACCGTGGTCAGGCATATATATTTATATGTTGATATACAGATATATAAACACAAGTGGAAATTGGGAAAACCAAACTATATATCAATACGGAAAAAATGTTTTATATTTGTTTTATAATATACCACAAAGAAATATAAAGAAACAAATTTTACAATGTTTCCGTGGTGACATTGAGTTATATGAACATGGCGCTGAGCCAATCAGAATTCAGAATTTACAAATGCTATATTATAATTAACAAATATAAAACATTTTCCGTGTTGATATACAGTTATATCAACACGAGTGGAAATTGGGAAAACGAGAAATTGTGTGGAAACAATTTCGAGTTTTCCCAATTTCCACGAGTGTTGATATAACTATATATCAATACGGAAGAAATGTTTTATATTTGTTTTATAATATAGCACAAAGAAATCTAAAGAAAGAAATTTTCTGACGTTTCCGTGTTGACATTGAGTTATATCAACACGGCTCTTAGCCAATCAGCATTCAGAATTTACAAATTCTATATTATAAATATATATATATAACATGTATATTGTATATAATTCAAGGAAAATGCATTTACATCTGTATGGAATGACAAAACCAACAAAAATCTGTTGGTTCTTCAATAAAATAGATTTTCTAGTTATTGTATCTTTTTTACCCTTAAGCAGCAATGTAGCATATCTGCCACAAATTATCCCCCCCCCCCCCGCTGAAATTCAAAGGGGAGTTTTTGTTTCGTTTTAATTGGCTTTCTAGGCTCAAATGCAGGTTAATTTGCAAGGAAATATTTTTTTAATTTGGAATTCAATAATTCCACTTAAAGGGTTAATTTTACAGAATTTTTTCAGTTATTGTGTTCTTATTATTCTCCAATGTCATAGTCAATATGTTATAGCTACTATATCACAATAGTACCACCACAACTTGTCAACCTCAACTGCCTATTCAACTATGATTTATTTGTTTCACTTTTTCGGTGTTAGCAACTGTTTACCGTTAAATGTTCCTCACTGATCTTGCCTATGGTAAACCTTCCTCGTGGGTAATCCCCGCATGCCGGAAGCTTTTTTGTAACTCTGGTGGATTATCATGATTATAGACTAGATTTAAAGCAGTACGGTAATCATTGAGTTTTAATTTGAGATTTAAATTTGACGAAGCTTAAAGATTGATTTCTCAGTTCATCAGGCAAAATGCTCCATATCCTGGTTGATCTGTTGATAAATGAGCGTTGAAATGTCACTGTTCTGCATTTCGTCTCACTGAACAGCATGCTTTCTGGGTTGCTCATGGCTCTTGTTCTTCTCATGTTCCCAACGCTCCTTTCTGGAATGTCTTTGCTAATATGCACCAAACCATTCATCATCTTGAATAAGAACACAAAGTCTAAATATTCATGCCAAAAAAATAAGTGGTAATAACTTGCTTGCTTTAAGCTGATTCTTGTAGTTGGTGTGACAATCGTATGGAAGATTTAGAATAAATTTGGATGCATGATGCTGAACTCGTTCTACTTGTTTAATCAGATTGATTGTCTGAGGAGCCCAAATCTGTGTGGTGTAGCCAAGATGAGGTTGTGCGATTGCTAGGGTTTCTTATCTCCTTACATGATCTCTTAATGAAACCCAAAAGTTTCTCAACAACTTCCTTGTTCTAGGTCAAGTCACTATCAATCCACACACCAAGGTCTTTCTCCTGCTTCACAGCACCAAGTATTGAGCCATTCATACCATATGGATAGCTTGAAGGTGTTTTTCTCCTCGTGATGTGCTGACACTTACATATCACCATCAACCCATTGAGTGTAGCCCAAGAGTTGAGGTTTTCAATGTCACTTTGAAGATCAACACTATCTTGTTGACTTTCAACTCTCTTCAGGACTTTTGTGACATCAGTGAAACAAGCCACTTTTGATTGTCATCAAAAGTGGCTTGTTTTGCTGATGACACGAAATGTGAACGACCTTGGGTACAGTAAGTCGTTCACATACAAGAGAAAAAGTACTGGCCCTAGGATCGAGCCCTGTGGAACTTCCAACATTACTTCTCATTCTTGAGATATTGCACCAAGTATTGTCATTCATTGTCTTCGGCCATTCAGATATTTCGGAAAATTCTGGCCCACTGGTAGGTGGTAATTGTGGGCCAGGTCTGACTGTATCACTGGAGAATATGGATGGAAAGTGATTGTTGAAGGCTTCAGCAATCTCAACCGGGGTGGAAACTAATTTCTGAACAGTTTTACCAGTGACCATGGATAGTTGATGGTATTGGCACTTGTTGAGGAACACTGCTCACTTTATTGGAGAGTTTGAAGGCAGACCAGAATTTTTTCAGATCTAACTGAATATGTTGTTCCAGCAACTCAACGTATCTGGCTCAGCTTTCGCTTATCAAATGTTTGACTGCCAACCTCAGCTTGAACTTGACAAAACTTGATGACAAACTTCTCAGCTTTTTACATAACATTTCATTTCATATTATATACAATATATGTCTGGTTATGCATGGTAGTGAGCTATTGCCTACCATTCCAACCAGGCTTTGTTCACATCAATGTTCAGCAAATTTGAGTGCACATCATTGAAATAGCCTTTCTGGTAGTCATAGACATATCCATTCAACTTAACTGGTGCTATCACAGTCGCTTTCACGTGGAAGATGAGACAATTGTGGTCTGTGATTACTCCACTTTCCTGTGGTAGCAGAATGGCATCAACTTGTACTTTCTCTGGCACACTAGTGATGACTAGGTCAAGATATTGCTAGCTCTTGTTGGTCAATGGTTTAGTTGTGAGATAAAATAGTCATTGAAGAGTTCGGTGAATTGAATCTTGTCAACACCAGTAGTTTTATCTGGAGAATCCAAAATAATTTTAGGTAGATTAAAGTCTCCATAATATCATCATATCTTGCCAACAAGTTAGTGAGGTATGATTCAAATAGTTTAAACCAATTTTTGTTGGAATTTGGCGGTCTGTAGCAACAGCAAATGCACAGTTTAGTACTTGATATGGTAGTGAGTTCCACGGAAATCAATTCAACATCACACTTTTCATGGACTATTTCATAAACTGTAGTAAACAAAGCCAATTTTATTGCTGATAACACTCCACCCGCAAGACTTTCTCTATCCTTCCTGTAAACCTCATATTCAGTTGGTAGTAATTCAGCATTCTCAACGTCTTCATGAAACCAGGTTTCCATTACAAAAGCAAGGTCAGCATTTTTGGTGTAGATCAGATCCTGAAAGCGGCATAGATTACTAACTTATTCGTTTACTGAATGAAAACTCATGAAGCTTCGAGAGCATAAATTGAGAGACAGTTTAACGAAGAACTTGCACAAAGTAGTTGTGCTGTTGCTTCACGTCTTGATTGACTAGATTAATCAGTTGCTGGAGCACGTTCAGGAGCATATACTGGACCAGGATTGAGTTGTACATCATTTGCCAATAGAATCAACATGAAAGGCAAGGTAGACCTCTGCAACAATACAAGTCCTTGTACAAAGCGATGAACAGATAGCAAAGTTACATGTTTCTTAACTCAACAAGCATGACAAAAACATGGCGGACCAATAACTTTCGTTGTCATGTAGTACTGAATTAGCTTTCGTTCTTTCATATTTTGCATAAATTAAATTGCATAACTAATAGTGGGGAGTCTCCCAATTGTAGTGAAACCAGAGATGCTATTCAAGTTATCAAACCAAAGTCAAAGGTCAAGAATTAGTTCATATACAACAGTACATAAATGAAACACGAAAAACTGCACCACAAAGAACAATAAGTAACTCAAAATCTTACGAATAACAGAGAAACACGATTCCAGTGTAGAAACTAGACTTTAAACGACAAAAGCTCCATTACAGGTACATAACGATGTTGCCATGACGAATGAAAATTATTCAAATAATACCAATGGTCAAAACTTTAAAGGGAAATGGCAATATATTTTTTATTTTCTCATTTGAAAGAACTTTTGAAACTATTTAATAACTTCTTTTACCAATTCTTCATATCTTGCTTAGTTCTTGAAATATTTTCACTTGAAGTAATGAGATGTCAGCCATCTGGGATAAATTTTTTATCTCATTAACGGTAGTTTTGGTGACGTCACAACAGGGATTAACCATATAAAACTATTCATTGCAGACCAAATATTGATTGGTAGATGTTTTAAAGGTTTCAAGTGATCTTGATATTTCCAAGGGCATACAGAGTATAATTTTGAGTGCAAAATGATTAGTGGTTGTCTAGATAAAAATATTGCATGACCCCGGTTGTGATGTAATATGCATATCTACAAAAATCCAAGATGGTGGAAATTTCATTTCTTTCGATTAAAATATTTGTAGAAGTAAGCAAGATATCAAAAAACGGTAAAAGAGTTTTATATATGGTTTTAATGTTCTTTCAAACGAGAAAATAAAAAAAATATTGCCATTTCCCTTTAAAACTCAAAATATTTAAATTGCATTTAACATTAAAACACCAAAACTTGACACAATAACAGGAACAAAACATGTAGTCCACAGAGAAAATTTGAAACAAATCCAATAAGCAAAAACAAGAAAATTACCAAACCAAATTTTAGGAATTGTAAGGACAGGCACTACTGCAACACAATAGACAACTTCAGAAATAAAAATCCAAAATATATGCGATGATTTGTTGTTTTTTGCAGGTATTCAGATCCTGGAATGCTGTGAAATGGCCCTGCTGACCTGTTGGGACATTCTATTGGGTGAACATCAAATGGTGTGTGGAGTGAAATGAAATTTCGATTCAATGTGACTAATAGAATTGGAATGGTGTAAATAATGATGATTTTAGTGAATTATGTTATGATGATGCATGGACTGTGATGATGTTGGTGAGTCTTGATTTATAACATAGATATAAAGTGATGATACTGGTGATATATGAGTTGTAAAATGGTATGAAATATAAGTGATACATAAGTCTGAACATTCAAGCTAAAATGAGACATGAATAGTAAAACTGTGACATGTA